GCAAGATTAAAAATTGATATCTATACTTATTATAAAAATAAGTCCCCCGGCCGCGTCTTTCTGTCCTCCTGTCTGTCTGTACGCGATAAACTCGAAAACTACTGAACGGATTTTTATACGGTTTTCAACAATAGAAAGAGTAATTCTTGAGGAAGGTTTAGGTATATAATTTATTATGCTTTTATGTAAATTAGCTGAAATACGGCGACAAATGTTGAAGAGGTCGCAAAAAATCTCGCCAAATGGGAACTTTCCACGCGAACGCCGCGTAAACTAGCAAAGATACAGTTAAGTAATGTACTAGAGAATTCAAAATCTATAAAAATGCTACAAAAAAGTCCGCGATAGCATATCTCTATCTCTTACGGTTGACTTACAATAACCACTTTTATGTTAACATTTTTAATTAAAAACATTACGTTATTTTCAAAGTTATTTTCTTTAGTTCGGTATTAATCCTTATCCAAATGAATATTTTAGTTAGCTTAGTCATTTAATGCAGATTAAAATTGCTCTTTACACTAAATCAATCAGATGAATAGTTTTTGAGATATCGTTGTTAGAAGTAATTAGTAGCGAAACATTTTTAATGCTTGGCGAGCATTGAGATGCCTACGGCGAGTCCATCCCCTCTGCCCCGCATCGCTCGACCGCCTGCTCAAGCTATATAAACCGGGCGATGTAGCGCGCGATCCTAGGATACTTTTTACCGCGGGAAAATATCTTATTTCTGAGGAAAAATACAAAAACTGCAATGTAAGAGTATACTAATATGTAACACCTAAGAATTTAGTTTTTGGTCATCTGAACGCGGGCGGAGCCGCGGGCAATGCTAGTGTTTAATAATATTATGCGGTATAATCTTATTCTCATAGGAAAATTTAAACTAGTTCTAGCGCAAATCGCTTATTTACGATTTGTTTTTGCTTAGCTTTCGAAATTATACGATTCATGACAGCAATTTCTATGGTAAAGGAATCGATTGGACAATAATTGCCATAAGAAAAGTTTTGAATGTAGAAGAAAAGCAAGTAATTTTACTTTTGTAAATACAAGGGAAGCCCCTTACAATCGTCGTTTTATTAATAATATGGTTTTTATAACAATCGTATGAAGTATGAACCTACTAATATCGCAAAGCAATGCTTCCTTCCTTGTTATTACAAGGCAATATAACTTGCCGTATCTCTACCTACTTATTGAACATTCGCATTTTTATAAGATTCCACATAAGATTGTCATTTTTGAAATAGGTAATTATGAGGTTATTTCTGCTATCTCTTTGTAAAGTAAATGCTGTAGATATGTATTCGAGGAACACTCGTGTGGGCCTGTCACAGACCTTTTTCCTTTAATACCCTACTGGAAGAAAAGTGTTTAATTTTAGAACATACTAGCGACTCACCCTCGTTCCGCTCGGGTTCGTCCGTTTACGTTTCAACGTTTAGTATAGATTTCTCAAAGATGAAATATTTTCTCGCAGTAAAAGTATCCTGTATGTTCACCCGGATAGCCAGCTATCATCATATTAAATTTCAATAAAGTTAAGTTCGAGTGGTTTTCTCGTGATGCGTTCCCAGACAGACAAACAGACAAAAATTCTAAACACTAGTTTCGGCCTCTATATCGATAACAATGACTATTTCAATAAGATTTTCCAAAAAATATTTAATGTACAGATTCGACTCAGAATTTTATGAGGTAGAGATGAGTTAGGTTAGAATGACTCTAATTAGAGAATTGAAGAAAATTAATGTAAATTCTCATTTTGCGATTAAGCTAGACAACTACTGAGTCTAGAATTTCATACAAAATATGGAATTAAGTGAGTGGTCACATATAGGAAAAATTTAACGAAAGACCTTCAATAAAGACCTTCAATTTCTCATATTATACAGCACTCTCCTTTATGTGATTCCGACTTACACTTGACTTTTTTTTGCTGAAATAGTAAAAGTCTGCATAGAATATATACATACACATATCAAGAAGAAGCAGCATAGCCATGCTAAATATAACAAATAAAATATTTTAAATTAATATTGCAATGTATGTTTTAGTGTATCTTTGTAAATGATAGCTTATGTGTTTCTCTAACGTATACGGAACTATGTATATAAATTAATATTATAAATGTGAAAGTTTGTGAGTATGGATGTTTGTTACTTTTTCACGCCAGAACGGCTGAACGTATCTGGATGAAATGTGGCACTGAGATAGATGATGAATAACACATAGGTTACATCAAATCTGTTCAAAAGTTTTGCATGAAAGAGTAAAATTAGTAGGATTATCTCTTAAACAGGTGGATTTTTGAGACGGGACTGTAAGGGCAGGTACCTTAACTGTTATAGTTACAGGAAAACGTTCTTAAGAGACCATCTATGACTTTTTAAGATATTCTGAACTGCATTTACAGATTTTGAAAAAAATGTACAGTGAACGAAAAAAAATTGCTAAAATACCAAAAAAAATTTTTTATGTCAATCGATCATCAGATCAATTTTTATTTCATGTAGGGAACAAAAGACTGTATGGGACCATTTAAGGTATGAGTACTAGAAATGACAGAAATCGCCAAAAACTTTACCCATACATTTTGTACGGAAAAACGATTAATCAACTCGAAATAGGTAAGAATTTTCATATAGTTTCATTCAATGTCGTAGACAAAGACACAGCTTTTAGTAGTAGGTAGTATATATTAGAAGAGTAAAAGTGTGTTTGTTAAAGTGTTTGTTGGTCTTCATCTAAATCTAAATATTTTCTCTGAAGGCTTGTAAATTTTTCTTCAAGTATTAATACAATTAATTTTTATGTGCACATTTTTGTTTGCTAAATTGTAGGTAGGTATATTGAAACTTCACATCAGCGACATATATCTTGCTAAATGGATTACAAAAGATATAGATATTGGTTACTTTGTAGTTGTAAATAGTAATTCATTGTAAATTGAAGCATCGATAGACGCGCAATTTAAACTTTTTATTATATAATATTTTAACTTTAAGATAAGAAATGAAACAAATATTTTCAATAAAATATTTATATTGAACTGGCCTTAATAAATTACGTCTTAATTGATACAAAAAATGACTTGACGAAACTTTGTACCGTCAAACTAGATACATTCTATACGTAGGTATTCGCTATAAGTTTTGACTTAACACAAAGAGAAACATAAGATGTTTAACGGTTTAACCGTCGGTCAGTGCGATGTGAATTAAGCCTATCTACATTGCAAATATACTTATAACTAATATATCTTTGAAAATGGTCCACAAATATTCAGTCATACTAAGGTTACGGTGTAGGTTAACAATCATAGCTGTACTCTTTGGTGTTCTAGCCGTTGTTCATTGCACGTGTGGTTCCAACATTATCCCTCTACATTTGAACACGTGATTGTACTATACCTACTTATATATGTTTGGGATCGGATTTTATTAGGAAATTGCTACGACAGTGAAAACTTATGACGAAAGTAAAAAATTACATGATTTTTTTTTTCATGTAAAAAGAGTCGTTTTATCCGAATCTGCTCATACATATACACGTTCACTCCATATTTATGTCTCACTCAAGTTATTAAAAAAAAACATAATATGACATAAGATTGCGGACAGTCTTTGAGAAAATTATACGGCTTACTTATAAATAAAAAAAATTAAAACTAAAAATGCATGAACAGAGTTACTTAAAAGAACTTAAATAAAAACTTTACGGTTAAAAGTCACGTGAATATTTTGAAAATTACGTAAATGGTAACGAATCGATGAAATGGTAACAATTGGTAGCTTTCATGATGGTTGATTGGTAAAGTCACTTTTAATTCTGAATCTGAATCGTAAAAGTATTTGTCACAATTTAGATTTTGTTAGAAGATAAACTAAAATAAATAAAATAATTACAATACTTACATTATAATGCCTTATGTATATAAATATAGCGTTTTACGACTAAAGGACATTTTACTTTGGTTTGTATTAGACTCACTTTATACATTATATATGCTTAATTTTATAATTAGAAGTAACTATTGTAAGGTTTAAACTAAACTTTTCTTTACACACCTTATTTTATATCATAACATGCCTTGCTGCCATAGGAGTGCGACGTCGTCGCCAATATTATTTAAAGTTTAGTAAATAAATTTTCGTTCTTACTTACTATAAGAATTATGACAATTGATAAATATAATATTAAAAATAAAAAAGTTAATTACAAAATTGTAGTGCAATTTTCAATGACCTCCTAGTTTTCAAAGATTACGAAATTACTTAAGAACACAGGAATGTACATGAATATTAAAAACTAAAGTATAAGTAATTCATGAACTTTAAGCTTCGAATTGTATTAATATTATCTTGTCGTAGGTACCAAACTTAATAAATGCTATCAAAATAGTACACATATAAGAATTTCAATTGTATAAATACTATTATAACGGAGACGAGTGTAATCAAAAGATTTTATCACAAAAAGGACGGATATAGAGTTACTGTCGTATCTACTTTACTCTAATATAATCGATGACAACTGCGATGCTTTAAGGCACTATAGGTAACATTGCTTAACATGTAGTGATGATTAAAAATACATTAAATCTATATGGTGTTCACATTCTTCTGCGATTAGCAAAATACATATGTAGTTCGGAAATACAGTTATAATAATTCCTTGAAATCTTTGGCTATAATTATAAAATAGTGTTCTCGAGAACTTAATTTCCATACATCGATGTGGGTAATCAATTAAACTACAAATCGACAAGACTGTTAATGTTAAGATACCAAGGCAGCTTTTACTTATTATTCTTGCCTTCTAATGTTGTTAATTTAGTTACATATAAAAACAGTTTTATTCAATTAAAAAAAATCATTTTAATTTTTCAGAATCTTCATAATATATTAACTTTGTTATGAAGAAAGTACCTAGGACATTTATAGTAATTTTGTACGATCTAACGAAATTTTCAACTATTTTAGATTATTATTTCAATTAGAAATAAGCGGTGCGAGTGGAGTTTGATCGTCACCATAGTATCTATACCGTTGGGGAGTAATACTGGGCGGCTCTACCTCGGCGTGCTGGGACTCTCTGTGGCGACGGAGGTCGACTTTACGTTGGAAAGCCTTATCACACAGCCCACAAGAGAAGGGTTTGTAACCAGTATGCTTGCGCATGTGCGTGATGAGATTGGAGCTCTGGCTGAACGCTTTTGAACACACCACACATTTGTGAGGTTTCTCTCCTGCAACAAACAAAAAGTACCGTACAGTGTCTATGTAGTATGTAAAAAATATTATATTAACTACATATTTCAATAATATATATTATATATTTTTTTATTTGGCAGCTCCTTTGTAACTTTTTTACATTATTTTAGATATTAAAATATAAAATAAAAGCTTTAAAATTAACATATATGTACTGTGCCTGCAAATAAAATATCAATAAATATTATACAATACAGAACAATTCCCCACACCTCTGTTCTCATTATTATGTTATGTTCGTGTCTCGCGTAGGGTGCTGTTATATTATGGAAGGTTGTAATTAAAGGTTGTATAAGCGACTAACCACTTGTCACATCACATCACTAGTATTATTATATTATAATGTATCACAAGAATTGCTGTTCAATGTAAAATTAACGTAATAACTTTTAAAACTTTTAACCTTTAAAATGTATATTCTTTTCTATTAGAAAAAATATTTTAGAGAAATTGTCAGTCAATGCTTTTTTTCAGATTGTTTTTCAAGCATAAGCCTAATTAACTATATGTATGTACATTAAAACTACTATAAGTAGCTAATTATTTTAAAATAATATCATATTAATTACGAATAATAAATTCGCAGCTACTACTAAAGATGTAAGCGTCAACAAGACAGGCTTGTTTGTCCCAGCAACCTACATAGGCAGAAAAGTGTAGAGAAAAAACTGGAAAATAATATATAAATGGAACAGGATTTACGGCGACTTTTTGTTCGCCGTGACGTGAAGGTCTCCGAAGGCTGCGCTGCTAATTACAGGGCGAACTGCATTTTGGAATATTGATGATGAGGCATTTATCGGGAGGACGGACGCCATTTACGGCTACTGTAAATCATTCAGAGTCGCGCATACGTGACGAGTTGTCTCAGGTGGGACAAATATGTCCGTCGCAGTTTTTAGACGACCAATTCTTTCGAAGTTTCTTGGAGTATGTAACAAAAAAAGGTCCCATTTTATACGGGACTTGTTTGTGTGATATATTTTGTCTTTATACTTTCGAGACATTTTTTGAATTATTATTTTTCATTAATTACAATAAACTTTAATTAAATTAAGTAAAACTTATTAATTGAATTTTATAGAGATCTCTGTGTAACATTTTTAAAACTACATAGTTCGAAAATAATTTATTGTGAACAGTATTTTCTAACTTTTTGCTTGTTAGTAGTTTTCAGTAGAAAAGATGCGCGATTTCAAATTTAAATATACTATCAGTGAAGATGTTTCTACAGATTTTGAAATAATACGAAGTCATCGACACTTGAATTGTTTATGGATTTAAAAATGCTTATTGCATAAAGCATTAGGTGCATTTTTACATCCGTAAACAATTCAAGTCGGTTATGTTTTGTATTAATAAGAATTGTGTCGTCTTAATTTAAGACCTGTATTATAATCAGCTCTCAGACTACTGCGATGAGCACGCAATGAAAAAATATTCATGGAAAAGTTTTATAGTAACTTATGTATTTAGAAATTATTCATAATCTATGATTGAGGAACTTATTCATTTTAATTTGACTGAAAATGAAACGATTGACTATATGTTAACTATGACGTTCTTCCAGGACCGCGAGGCTCTTGTGAGCCCCTTACTTATTACAACTAGGGAAATAATAATGATATAGAAATTATACGGTAGCCCGAGCTTAAATGGCAGCGATGGATGCCTTGTTTTTTTGCTCATTGGAAATTTATTGGCTGCTGGGAACTTGTTGGGCTTTTGTTATTAAAAAATTAAAGCAACAAGTATATTTGTACTGAGAACTGATTGATATTTCAATTGTCAATCAAAAAAGTACCATATCTATTACTGCTTAGAATGCTGAAGTCCTATTTAACATTAATAATAATAAATGTTGGGACATTAATACACAGCGCCATCTAGTTCCATGGTAAGCTACGAGGCTTGTGTTATGGATACCAGATAGTTGATATACTACACATATATAACTTTAAATACATATATATTATAAATATAAACACCCATAACTGGAGTACAAACATTCGTGCTCATCACACAAATGAATGTCTCCAGCGGGACTCGAACCCGCGACTGCTGGCACATCAAGTAGGGTCACTACCAACTGAGCCAAACGTGTCGTCAACTCGTGTGTTTGACTATCGTAGGTATCTCATAAATAAAAGTCTTAAATTATGCCGGAACATGTAATCTATATATACCACATGTAAAGTTTTGTTACTGACCTAAATGAATCTTTAGTTAGATAATAGCGTTTCAATAGTGTGAAATTTGAATAACAAAGTTAAACAACTATAACTTCATACTATTATTTCCAATGAAAACTTTCAAAACAGTTAACATAATAGAAGGGACGATTCACTTTTAAATGTGATTACTGACAAAGTTTACAAGAAGTATTTCGATTTCATTTTACACTTAAATTAATTTCGTTGTTAATGTTATGTTTACAAGAAAAAAGAATTTATTTAAATCTTGAACAAATATGAATTGTTTTAGAATTTTTTCATGAAAATGTACCAAGTACCAGCAAAGTCGATTTATTTCCTTCAAGCCTTTTTTTATTAGCATTCAATTTAACCGTTTATTAAAATAAAGGAATTATAATAAATTGTAACTGAGGTAAGGAGTTAGAAGAAGAATGTTACATTTGCAGAATAATTTGTTTTAGAATATATTATTTTATTTATTTTTATTTGCGTTTGACTTACCAGTATGGATATAGGTGTGTTTCTTCATATCAGATTTCTGGTGAAAGCGTTTTCCGCAGTACTGGCAGGGGTAGGGCCTGGTGTCAGAGTGGATGAGCAGGTGCGTGGACAGCGTACTGGACCTTTTGAAGCACTTTCCACACTGCTTACACTGCACAATGTTTTAAAACCGTCAAATATATTGATGACTTCTTGAAATTAGTATTTGTGCCTTAAAGGGTTGAATTGTAAAATATGTGTTTCTTTAATTGTATCAAAGAGTATTAATAAATTAATACTTTTTGGTACAATTAGGCAGAATAGTAAGATATAAAAGTTACCAGATCACCGTTTTTTCTACAAAAAAAAATCATGTAATTATAGAAATAGCCTATAAAAATTCCAACGCTTCAGGTCCGGCTCTTAGTCTGGGCGGTATAAATCAGTCAGTAGGATAATTTGATTTATTAGTATATATAGATAAAATAGTTGTATATTATTATTTAGTGTTATTTTCATAAGATATGGCACAGTTTTGACCTAGATTTTAGCCGATAGTAGGTATGATATATTGACGAGTTACTACTAAATTATATTTTAATTAAAATTTCATGACATAAACATCCGTTTTATGTTCCTTAGTAAATACGTTATATTATAACATATGTACGAGACATACAATTAATTGTACGTAGTACAAAGTAATACGTATACAATTAAACGTGCGATGAAATTGAGTGTCCATCATCGCCGCTGACAACCCGTAATAAACTAATTACAGAGTAGTTTTTTTAACCCCTTTCTACACGTTTCTTTGATTTCTTCCTAACTCTATAGTTATTTTTTTCTTAATTAGTAATTTACCATAGCAGGGGTTGATTACTTATTTTTAAAGCAAAGACAATTTGGCATCGATTTTACCGAAATATTGTAAGTATAAATGTGCTTAGAATGAGATTCATAAATCTCTTTCCTACTTACATGCCTTTCATTTACATACTCTGTAAACAAATTCTTGTGCGTCGTTTCATATTCCGTTCACAGTTAATAGACAAAAGGTTCCATCATTAGATTTATTTGATCAGCTGTTTTAAGAATGTATGAATGTAATAACCGTATCTTATTTTTAAGCATAAATTATAATAGCTTAGACAAGATGTTAAAAAAACGTTGAAAATTTTAAAAATACAGAACAGTGCTTTATGTAACCTTTATCTAATATGTTTATAGTTTCTATAATAGTTATGTAAAAACAACGTGTATTCAGCCCTTTTTAACGTCCCACTGCTGGGCACGGGCCTCCCTTCAGTACAAGGGGAATCAGGCCACGCTGGCCAAGTGCGGGTTGGCGGACTTCACATGTCTTTTTGAAAACTTGCTAGATTCTCTCAGACATGCAGGTTTCCTCACGATGTTTTCCTTCACCGTTAAGACAAGTGGTAATCATGTTGGAAATGATTCGCACATGAAAATATCAGAGGTGCGAGACCCGGGATTTGAACTCGCTTCACTCGGTTTCTCAAGCTAGCGCGCTTCCACTGGGCTACCACTGCCTATAACAACTTAGTATTTATCAAAATGCCTGACGTACCCCTGTTTCTATTAACAGTTACAAATTTCATTAAATCTAATTATTTTTGTAAGAAGTATATTAATTATTTTAAAAGTAATATTTTATGAAATATGAATAACTAAATCTTTATGGTAAAAATGACATTTATTTTTATGAACATGTATTCGGTCAGTGAGAATAAAAAGTAACTGTAAGCACCTTAGTCGAATGGTTAGCCGTTAAGTATGTGCCCAATGACAATTTGACTACAATCCGCGTGGAAGCCTGAGACAGTTGGTGAGGCAGCTGCCCACCGCCCTGCCTCGCGCCTACAAAAACTGCTAGCTTTTTTCAATCTCTTTTTTACCGATGCACTCTCTTATAAACAACACAGGTGCTATGCAAAGACTATCCACATATGGTTATCGGTTGTAACTTGTATGGAGGAGATTTTTTACTATGGTCAGACAATTTAAAAATGTTAAGGCGTTTTGTTTTGCGGTGTAACCGTTATAAGTAACTATGTCTTATAATTATTTTGAGTTTGTAACATTGTTCTTTTTATAGAATACTGATAGAGTATTCTATGATAAACAAATAATTAAAACTTACCATTGAAACATTTTGTTTTATTCTTTTATTCAATTAAGCAGAATTTACTTCAAAAATTTAAGATAAAGCTGAAATATGTCATTGTCGTAATTAAATAGAAAGTTACTGATAATCTTAATTTAGCGTTTTTCAATGTAAATAAAAGTTTTCAAGTAATGTTTTTTGTAATGATATCCCATTTTGCTTTAATACTTTAAAGTTAATATTTAAGTTCGATTTAAATTTATTAATACCTACCATATCCACATCGTTCATTTATGCCTCTGTCTAAGCTGTAAGTACGTAAAATTAAAACTAGAGTGCTTAATTCTGACCCTTATAATTACCAATACTACATTTTCACGTAAAAGATAGCATAGAAAAAATATGTTAATAGCTGTTTATAAAAATATTAAAATAAATTTTTATATTAAATTTAATATGTTAGTCAGTGGGCAATTAGCAAAACATTGAAAGCGCGTGCCGGCCACGCGCCGCTTTTCCGTTCTCGCCTCCTCTACACGTTATTATACCTACTTACAATAAAAGTATATGTAATAATGATACGGAAAGACAAGCTTGTGACAATTAATGTATCTTTAATATTAAAGAAAATTTAAGGTTGCGTATGAGGAGTGACAGAATTGTTTCGAAAATGCCTATAAAAGTGGTTAACGAATTATTTTAATGTTAACTAAAATTTTAATTCCTTATAGTAGGTAGGTACCTATGTATAGGCATAGGTATGCAAGGTAGATACTATAAGGAATTAAAACTTTCAATAAACAAGATATTGTGCAAAAGGAAACCTTTGATTTTTATCTAAGATGAATTGTTCAATTATAAGTCTTGCCCGTGATCTCGTAGGCGGTATTTTGATTAAAGCAGACACGAATATTTATAACGACGCCGAAGTAAAATGAGAAATGCAAAAATGGTGAGAAGCACTCAGTACTTGGGAGCTGCGAACTGCGTGCGAGGGACGCGCGACTCGTTCCGACGCAAGAGTACTTATTAAGACAAGGGCAGTTTTTATTATTTGATTTACAAAAAGACTAAAGATATACCGGTTTGCTATTTTAAAGCTAGTCTGAACGGAAATTGTACAGTTATTCCGATGCGCCTACTGCCTAGAGTTTACTAATTCTGAAATCCAACGATAAATTTATAATGCAGTAAAATATTTAAAAATATCATCGCCCTTAATAACAATGGTTATTTAATCAAAAAGAAATATGAAAGATGTCTGTACTTAGAAAAATAGACACATTTGGGCTAAAAAATATATCTCAAAAAAAAATTACAAGTAGACCCTAATCATAACAATGAAGTAGATCGTACCTATTAATTTTAGTGATGATTTTATTTTTATGATTTTAGTGTTTAATGTGATATTTTTTACCTGAAAAGATTTCTCGTTTTTGTTTTCATTTTTTAGGAGCAATGAAAAGTTGATATCCGATGGTGGCGGCGGTGGTTGCGGGTAGGCGTGGTAAGCGGGAGCGGATGGGCAACGCCGGGGCTCCGCGCTAGAGGGACGGTCCTCATCAGGGCTGCTTCGACATCTCTTGACTAACTCTAAAGGACTTTCAATGTCCTCCTGGACCCATTGAGCTTGTGTGTCGGTTTCCATCTCCACATGTTCACGTTCACAGGCGCTGCCCGGTGACCAAATTTGTCGATTTTTTGTCGACAGGTTCAAAGGTAGCTCTTCTTCGTCATCTACGAAAAAGTAATTAATTTATTAGTGGTATCATTTATTATATCATTTTATTGACTAAAACAGGCATTTCAAGTACAAAAATCTTCTTTATCCTATAATTGTGTAATTTGTTTATAGAAAAGGTTACGTCATAGTCTGGTGCATTAATATTTTAAGCTTCAATTCTTTTACATATGTATTTATATTCTTAAATCACTTTGCACCTGAGTCAATATCGTTTCGACGCAATATAAAAAATCAAAACTACATTTCGTTTCTCACCAATTTGTACTATAACCTAACACGTATTGTAAGCTGAATAAAAGGTCTATATCGACTTCGTCAATATGCATATTTGCCAAAATATAGATAACTATTTATTTAAAATCATGAAATGCTTGGAAATTATAAAAAAAATCTCAATGTACCTACAAAAATGTGCAATAAATATTGGTACTTATGTAGTTTTCTTTGATTCATGTTCGTAACCGGCACGAATGCGGATAAGCAGTAATTTGAATACTAAAAGAATTTTAACACGATAATGACTTTGCTTGTATATGTAGGTAGATACTTTTCCTTGGCAAGTAGAAACATTAAAAAGACTCGGCTGTGGAGGTAAACGACATGTAAACGACGGCATATCAGCAGTTCGCGGGTTTATTCGTCAACTTACATTGATAGCTATTCTAATGAGGAACACACTGGAGAAGTCATGTAAAGAGGCCGAGGCGAACACAGGTTTTATCAGTCGACCCAAAATACAAATCGTATTAAATTCACTTTTGAAAATCACTTGAATTTCATTTCTTATTTAAAATGTTTAAATAATCGCTACTATAATATGTATGTGCACACATTATGATTATTGAAATCGTCATAATATAATTATGCTGTACTAATTATTATTTTTTAAATATCTGTTATCCATTTTTTTATAATGAGCGATAGCGCATGTGATATTTTAAGTAGAAACAGAGTAAATGCCACATAATCCCACATGCCACCTGTGATATTTTAAGTAGAAACAGAGTAAATGAGATACGACTGAATGAATTTTATCAATTTTTATTTTAAAAAAGATTTTTGTTTTTATTATATTTATCACACATTTCGGTTTTGATTCTTCTATAAACATTAATGCAAACCTTCTGTTAAAAATGTCGGGTTCTTGTTATAAGATTAACCATGATATAATACTATTATAGTATTTTATTATTGATAGGTACGTATAATAATATTATGTGCTAAAACATTCTTTTTCATTTTGTAATGAAAGATATTTATGTATTGCATTTTATTATTACATTTGTACTATTTTATTGCATTGGTAATGGTAATAATATCTAATAATCTTACCATCTCTGGGTGGTGTGTGTCTGGCGTGATCTAAACTAGGTGCAAAAGGAGATGCATGGGGGAGCAGCAGCGGCCATACACCGCCGCTGTACAGGGCGCCCAAACCGCTACAGTACATCAAGGCTCCTAATTCTAAAAACAAAAATATTATGTTAGCTATTTTATTTACAGATCAAGACTAAAACAAAATTCAATTAACATACCATATATAGTAAAAGCCTTCCATGACTACTTAATTAATGCATTAATTAAAAATAGCTGTATTTCAAAGCAAGCTCTTTATCGTTTTTAAATATTTATAACTTACACTTAACAAATGATTATAAAGGTAATATAGAAAGAAATAAAATAGACTTTCTAACATTATTCAGTTCATACTATATAAATGGCCGATATTTATTATCTAATTCTAAGTATAAGTAGTAAGTAACATACATAAGTATTTGTAAAAATTAGGAACTATTATTTAAATAGCAAAAGTGGATTTTCACTTGCCTGTAGCTCTAGCGTATTGCTTAAGTGCCCTTCCAGCGATTTCAATATCGCCAAGTGGTATCATATCTAGACGTTGTTGTGTAACAGAGTCTGGGGAGTGTGGGGGCGAGCTGGCCGACACCGGGGATCTAGGAGATACGCTCCTCTCAGGCGAAGGAAAACGTTGTCCAGGTGACGCATCTTGGAAATGCTCAGCAAGGCGCGACAACAGCACGTGACGAGACATCCTGGTAAAAAATAAAGCTATATAACATACAAGTAGGCACAATAGGTACTAAAATAGTAATCACTGAAGTATATAAATATTTTTAAATGTTAATTTGTGTTTTTCCAATTTCATTTTGTGTTGAGATTAAATTCCATAATGAAGTAATTTTAAAATATTGGCAGGAGGTAGAGTACGAAAATAAAGAATTACTTATATTGTTATTTCATCCATGAACGACATTGTTTTTTAAGTAGTTTTTTTACGTATCTCAATATGACTTGTTTTATATATTTGCATTTTTTAGTAAATTTAAACTGAATTAAAACTACGTCTTACCCAACAAAATTGAGCATTAGTACAAAAAATTTACGTTGCTAGACGCCCCTTATAATTTACTTTCGGGCGGAATATACATACATAGGTACAGTACTAGGCCATTCGGGCATATAGAGTGATCAGTTTAAAAAAAACAACATTGTCATCATTGTTATTACGTGACCATCGCCATTAGCGAGTATTTGTTGACAGCTCTCGCCCTGATTAATCCGGCCGGTGTTTGTTGACGGCGAGTATTAAAAGCTCAATCAAGTAAATGAAGAATCAGAATAATGGAAGTGGACGTCACCCGCTGCGTACGCGCATTAATAATTCACAACATATCGGAGTAAAACAATTTTCATTAGACTAAAACCCATTTGTTTTTATAACGTGAATCTATATCGGGCGAATGCTTTAGTGGAAGCTTTCACATTTCTTCATTACTTAATTCGACGAAATCAAATATTATGAGTAGGTTGCGATGTAACAAATGAATTGCTCAATTTTGTAATCGAGCGAAGGAGTATTTGGGACAGGGGGGATAGTGATCTAGCACCTGTATTTTCGTCATAAAGATAGTATCATAGCTCCCGATTTATTCCTGCAACATTTACCCGCGAAGTATTAGGTTAATTGCGATTTCTATCATTGTGTTACAAACAGGTGAATGCAATCGATTCCAGCTATTACATGTAATTGGTTAACTTGGCTTCTATGTGAGGGCTGTGTGTCGCTATTTCTTATTTCAATAAACTAAGACCTCTTTAGACTGTAAGTGGCAATTATTTGCCGCGCAATTGTAGTGGCTTACTTTTTCATTTTAAATGCAATGGGAAATGCAGCAAGTGCTAACATAAGAAAATCAATCAAAGTTCAACTTTAGTATTAATTTATGTAATGGCCTACATTTGAAACTTAGGTAAATTACGTGTTTAATTTGTATTTGACAAAATTTACACTATTAAGATTTCAATATTACTTTTCATAATGTTTATAATTCTTCTTCAAATCAATATTTAATTATTATTAACGAAACGAATACGATTTTTTTAATTAGGTATAAATTTCATTTACTAAAATTAAATATTTGTTATGAGTAGGTAATAGATTTATTAATAGAATGTTCATGTTTCATTGTATTAGGTAATCTTGTGCAAAAAAATTAAAGATAAAAAAGTACGAACATAGAATGTAAATTAAAACTCAACAACTAACCTAGATAAAGGTATTACATGCTATTAGTTTAAAAATAATAAAACTAGAACATCACTAAAGTGTTACTTAAAAAATATGAATGCTATAAAATTGAGAATATTAAAAAAATATTTTAAAAGTAAATATGAAAATAGTCTCTAAATTTTTTGAAGTTACGTATATTTCTTTTGGCATGTTTGGAAAAAATATGAGAGTAAAATGTTAAAATGCGCGTACACCGACAGCCAAAAAGCGAAATGATGAAGTTAGCTGAAAGCGATTCCTTTTACAAACAGAGAGTTGTGACATATGCGCTGAAACCTTTAGCTATTTTTGTTCTGTTACGCCAAAAATGTATAACTTCTTTCGTACATAAGTACCGTACAAGTTTTTTTAATAGACTTTCAAAAAGTTTCAGTGAATAGCCTTTTTTATTTTTCCTTGCCTTAATTAAATAATTTATTAAACTAAACGAAATCTTTGGAAAATATTTGTTTTTAAAGCTTCAATTTTATGAAAAAATTCTTGAATTGAAATAAATAATATTAAGAGTTTAATAATACGTGTAATTTTCAGAACTTACTTTAGCCGCCAATTGGGTGCTGCACTAGAGTTTTCTCACTAAACACTCGTTAACACAATGTCAGAGATTTGTAAAATCTCCAAATCAAACTAGATTAAAAAATTGAGGATTTTAACATTTTAATAAAATCTATTCTAAAGATTTAGGAACAACGATATATGGATAACGTGCGTCCGAGAGCGCTCGGAAGGTTGTGCGGGTCGAGGCTCACACGGTGCTTGCCGCTCGGCGCCTGGCACCTGACTGAAGGAGGCTCGCGCGCCCCGACCTACCCGACTCATCCACAAATAACGTGTTTTTTTTTCAAAACTAACAAAAAACTGCAGGTCGTGCGGAGGCTGCGCTATAAAGAAATGATTTGATGAAACGGTCACCAGACAGGTGGCGCGCGTCACATTCCTGTAAGCACCGAATAATTACTGGTTGCCCCTCGCCGACAGTACTCGAGACGTACTGAAAAATGACTTTTGAAGGATTAATGTTTGCAAATAAGTAGTTTCATGATTGACTGAGAATGACATTTATGAAGTTTCGTTACGCGTTGCAAATTTTAGTTTTGGCTTTTTATTTCATAACATAAGTGGCGGGAGCTAACTAAATCGCTAGCGATTTCTTCAAATTAATTATTACCATGTACTTTTTATAGTATTAAAAGTAATTTGATCCTAGAAATTGGGGAAAGTCGTCGCACGTGATGCCGTTCAGATTTGTTACAGCGAGCGGCGGCCCCGCCCACGCAGCGCATTGGTTGCAATATAGAGCTGGGCGGAGTTTAGATTAGATGCCGAATTAGAAGTGTTTTTCCAAAATCTAAGCAGTTTTGAGATTCACAAGTTAACGCATTAATATATGAGATAGATTTCGAAGTGATAATTATAGGTTATAGGATTATGGATTACGGATTAGAATCGAATCATGCGAACTGATATCTTAGAATTAATAAATTCTACCAGGCTCTGTCTTCTTTTGTGCCTTCTATAAATAAATAATAAATACCTACTAAATATTGTAAATATGTATTTGTAAATACACAAAACACATGTTGTACAATACATGTTCCAAATACGTGTTGTACAAAACAAGTACATAGGTATACCAAAAATTAATCACTACATAGTTTAAAACAAAGTCGTTTCCCGCTGTCTGTCTGTCCCTATGTATGCTTAGAACTACGCAACGGATTTTGATGCGGTTTTTTAATAGATAGAGTGATTCAAGAGGAAGGCTTATATGTATAATACATGCATATTATAGTACAGAAAAACCGAGAAATTCAAAGATTTGTATTTAATACTAACCGTTAAAACATATATACCTAGAGTCGAACCCAAGCGAAGCGAGGGTGAGTCGCTAGTTAATAATAATTTTAACTGATAAGTACAAGAAAATAATCTCATACTTACAATTAATTAGATTGATACGTTGAAATGTAGTCACTAGTGTTATAATTTTACGACTACTTAGCGATATTTTACACTCTATTAACCCCTTGTAGCAATCACGGGAAATTTAATTAGGCGGCTAATCTGCTTTGATACGAAGTGTTTTGTTACCGGCGGGATATGTATGGTTTCAGGGAAAGTGCTTCAGTTGTAGTTAGGGGTGTGTTTGGGGAGGCTTGGGATTACGTGTCTTCAATATTCTGATATTGAGGAAATAAGCGTATGTGACAAATATATGTAAGTATGTTCGTGGTAAGTATACAGAGGGTGCGTGGGCGCAGAGGGGCGCGGGTGGTGCGCTAACGGCGCGTGGCCCGTTACCCCGCACGCGCACATGTCGCATCGGCACGCGCCCGCGCCGCTTTTTACGATTCTTTTTCTCTTTTTGTTTTTGTTTGCTACCTTTGTTCAAAATTCGTAGCCTCTTCCGATTGCGGTATAAATAAAAAAATGATTTCGTGATATCGAGATGAATGAGTTTTTTGTATCAATTCGATATAAAAAGGATACTTTTTTCATTCCACCTTTGAATGTATTTTTTTGTTTCCACGAATGTTAATGTAAAATTTTAATAACAAAGAAAAAAAAAACAGAAAAACCCTGAATTAAATAGGTATTTACATTTAGTAAGAAATTTTTGAAGATTTTATACTGTTAAATCAAAATAAAACACTTATATTGGGTAGTTACGAATGTATTTCAGCTGCGTACAGAACCGGTACTCCGGCGGCGCAGGCGGCTGTCGCTGTCGTCGTCCATACCTTACAGTCAACTTTTATTAATTGGGCAGATGAGAACCACGGCGACCATGATGAATGCCTTTGCCATATAAGGAGAACGATTCGCGAAACCTTTTATAGATTCTCAATTAAAACTGTCTATTATAGTTAATAGGGCGGTTGGACAATGTATTTTATAGAAACAAGAATATTTGCTATAAGTATAGGATAAAAAAGCAGGCATTATAACGGAAAGGACGATTAAGTGGAATAAAATATAGCGTGGGGGTGCGGGTGGCAGGTGGCTCCTTGTAGAGATGTTCTGATTTTGTCGATATTTTATAATTTAATCCAAACGCCGTTATTGTAATTAAAATTAACAAAGTTAGTCTTATAATAACTTGCTAATTTGAAACATACCTAAGAAGACCGATAATTTTATAGTTTATAAAATATGTAGGTATATTCGTGTATTATGTATAATACGTGTTAAGTATGTATCCGATTACTAATTTAAGACATTTTTTAAAATATTTTTTCAATAAGCATGAGAACTTTAAAATATTGTTATGTAAGTATTTTGTAAATAAAGTACCTATTAAGCTTAAAGAATGCTAATCGAATGCTTTTTATTAACAGCGAAATCATTCCTTAATGCAAAGAAATCTTAGGATTTGCTAGTTTTAAGAAACTAGACGATTAGAAATAATTTTTTGATCATAATTTATAGAAAAATAAAACATCGATAAGCAAATCTAAAATAGCCTCACTACGACACCCTCAGTCTCGGTCGACAAGATTCCGCGGCATGTGCGCATCGCTTAACGGATTTATTCAAACGCCGCCGCGTGCCGGCGTCACACTCCTTATTACCTCACACCAATTGTTAGTTGTTACTGTATTTTATATCAAAAAATATTTATAACATATACTTTATACATAAGTAATTGTTTTCATTGCATGATACTACTGAAACTATTCTTCTATCAATATGTTTTATTGTAGAGTCATTCATAATTTTTAAAACAACATATTAATTTTTTTTTGTACATACTTAAAACATATAATATTAGAAAAAGTAAAATATTAGTAAAAGTGAATTAATAATATTATTTTACTTAAGTTACTTTTCTTAAGTAACGAAATAAATATGAAAATCTAAGAATTTATTGAAACACATATGTACGACAGAACAATAATTATCAGAGTAGAGCTCGCTCTAAGTTCTATGTAACATTTTTATTACATTTTGTTTCTTTTCATAACCTACTTGTTAATAGATAGTTTCCAAATAATCCATATTTACATATTAGTATAAACCTAAAAAAACACAATTCGTATAAAAATTCAAATTTAATCTCGTAAGAGAAATTAAATAATATTGCTTACACTACAACTACAAAGTATCTAATAATTATTTAATTTTCCTCTAACTATATTATAATATAAATATTTATATTGAATAATAACAAAATTAAAAAGGAAATGTAATCCATACGAAAGCGAAGAACTTTTCTCGGTAACTTTGATGGTACGCCATTTATAAATACCGCCCACTGCGACTGCCAAGCAAATTATTTATTACTCGGATCTATATTCTATATCTTATTTACCTATGGCAAAAGGTATAATACAATGCGCGAAGCATATATCAATAGCAATTTGTATAATTTATTGCCAAATAAAAATATATCCGCATTTGCAATGTTTATATTAGTTGCAAGCAGACAATATTGAGACGATTTATTGAACATAAGCCTTAAATGATTATCTGACTTCATATTATAATGATTACACAACTATAGTAATCATATAAAATAAAAATTTATATTTATTTATACACAATTAGTAAGTAAAATTACAAATTTTTATTTTTGATATATATTAAAGTTCTTTCTATAATTTTCATATATCAATACATATAATGAAATTGTAACTAAGCCGAATCTGTACATTAAATATTTTTTGGAAAATCTTATTAAAATAGACATTATTTTCGATCCAGAGGCCGAATCAATAGCTTTTAGAATTTTTGTCTGTCTGTCTGTCTGTCTGTCTGTTGCCGCATCACGGAAAAACCACTGGAGGGCTTTTGAAGAAATTTGGTATGGTGATAGCTGGTTATCCGGGTCAATATATAGGATACCTTTTACCGCGGGAAAATATCTCATTTCTGAGAAAAAATACAAAAACTGCAATGTAAGAGTTTACTAATATGTAAAACCTAAGAATTTGGTTTTTGGTTATCTGAACGCGGGCGGAACCGCGGGCAATGCTAGTTTAAAATATAAATAATTAAAAGTTAATAAAGACAGTAAAGCTGCGGTTAAAATTCGGTTTGCGTTTATTCGATTATTGTTGTGTATCTTGTACGGTAACTGTAAGGTATACACGCCCCAGAGTCATATGGCGGGCGTCGCGCGCCGAATCCGTAAAAGCTCGGCGCGAGCGCACCCAGCACATGCGCAATGCGTACAATTAGCATTGTGCACCTCAAACTCCACCCGCTCATTATCATATATTAATTACCATTTTTTTCTTACCTAATTATTGCAGTCTTGTGTGTGATGCACAATCCATATTGATGTGCACATGTTCCCTCCGAGGCCACTCTTGTGGGTTTCAAACATCTACTCGATGACTGTAATGACTACCACCTCATGGATAATATCTGCATTTAACGTATTCATTTTGCATTTTATGGTTTTAAGTGTTAAAATATATAAACGTATACAGTTTTGCGGTTGTACGGTGTTTATGTCTTATTTGAAGTTTGTGTGTATATATTTAAGAAATGGCTATCGTTGGCTTTTGAACCTTGATTATTGAATTGGAAGGTATCTGAGACGTAAGGTATGTACGGTGTATACTTTGACAATTTAATAGCATATGCTCGTGCACCTGCCACTGCAAAAAGCAAGAGCACGCTTCAGGCATTGAAGCTCGGAATTCGTCGCAGCCATGAAGTTCTTAGCTTATTTTATGCGCTTTATTGGTAGTTGATAGGTAAGTTGCATTAAGCTTTTCACAATGAGCCTTACCGTATATGGATTATATTGTTTGTATGAGTTAAATTCTTCAGATGTCACCAATGCTGCCATTACAGGTTTTTTCCAATCA